TATGAAAAATTATTATATCTACTATTTACCCTAAATGATTTAAATTTTGGGATTCACAAATTTAAAATCTGTAAGTATTAGCTTTTGGACGTATCTATTTTAAATGAATTGATTGTTTMAGTTATTTTTATTTTTATAAGATTATAACTTTTTTATGTTGTAAATTAAATTCATAGGCATAATTGTAGAGGGCTGTATACCCAAAACATTTTAAAGATATGTCATGTTATGTACTATCTCCATACCTTATTTAGCTATCAAAAAATTTCAAGACTCTGACCCCTCCCTAATTTAATGACCTTTTTATGCCTATGGTTGAATACCTGTATAAACTTTAATTTAGTGTTATTTATAGTATTATACATTTGCTGTGATTATTGTTTTACAAAATGTTGAAATTTTAATTTTAATTTCTTAGATAATGAGCCCTGAAAAAAAAGCATGGATTAAACCATCTTTTGAAGAGATCCCACCGACCATTAAATCATYGAAGCAATCATCTCTCAACAGAAAGAGGCCTCTTACTCAAAGTGCAAATAAAAATTCTGATTGGTGTAATATTTACACTCCTCAGTCTGTTGCTAAACTAGCTGTACATAATGGTAAAATAAAAGAAGTGAAACATTGGTTTGAAAGTTTAAACGATAATTCATTGATCAAAAGTAAATTCTTACTCGTTACTGGACCTACAGGATGTGCTAAAGCAACCGCAGTGAAATTGATCGCCAAAGAATGTGGTTTTATTTGTTTAGAATGGGTAACACCTATGACTATTGAACCAATATATGATCAGTGCACCGATGGTTATTGTTACCAAAATGTTCAAGATAAGTTCCAAGATTTTATTTGGGGCGCTACAAGATATCGTAGTTTAAAATGTGGTGTTTCTAATGGTCAATTCTTGTTGATTAAAGATATTCCTAATATTTTCTTAGATAAACCTGATGAGTTTCATGATATTATGATGCATTTTAATACACCCTCACAATTTCCAATTGTGTTTATTATTAACAATGAGAAAATTATCCGTGATCTATTTTCTACAGAAGTCTTAGAAAGGTTGAAAGTGCAACAAATTAAATTCAACCCAATCACAAGAAAATCTGTCCTAGCTGTTTTGGAACAAATYGTTAAATCTGAACAACAGAATAATAAATTACTAAGGATACCAAATACTTCTGAATTAAATACTATTTACGATGAGACTAATGGAGATCTAAGAGCATCAATTATAAGCTTAAGTTTTTCCTGTATGAAAGTCCAAAATAAAATCAGTAAAAAGTGTTCTACTGCTTCAATAGATGAGAGCCTTGATTTATTTCATTCTATTGGTCGTGTTATATATCCAAAGAGAGAGATTATAAAYTCTCCTTTACAATTTAAATTTACACATAATCCTGACAATCTGGTTGAAAATTTTGCAATGCAACCTACTACAGTTTTAGGGTTTCTTCAAGAAAACTATTTATCTCGTTTCTCTAGTTTAAGTGACATTTGCAAAGGAGCTGATGCAATCAGTGCCGCTGATGTAATGTTAAATTCAAATTTCATGTTTGGAGTTTCTATTTATGATATAAGTTTGTCATCGTTATCAGTAGCTGTCAGAGGATTAATGTTGGCAAATGAAAAACCCATTAAAGCATTTAGATCAATTGTAAAGCCAAAACATTTCCAATATACCAATGATATACAAATGTATAAGGATGTTAAAGGATGGTTTGATGATGTACKTGAATCTCCTAAAGACATATTGTTAGACATTATCCCATTTGTAAATGAATTAGGAACYGATAGACAGAAAAATGTTGCTAAAGAATTGTGGAGGTTCAAAAGAAAATAATGACTGATCAAAAGTGGAAATAATCTAGATACTCAAATAATTTTACTATAACATATATGTACATATACAAATTATAATTTTTAAGAACTTGTATATTTGTAATATTTGAAATATTTTTGTTAATGAAATCTATACAAATTAAAGTGTAAATAAAAACTAATTTTGAATCACTTAATTTTTTTTACGATTGAAAAGAAACAACTAAAAAAAAAAGATATATAAACATCAGAGAAAGTCTTAGCCTCTTGAAATCTATATATATTGTATGTTATTAATAGCCTTTTCTTCCTCTGAATCGCTGTCTGTTGTCCAACTGAAATACAATTATTTGAATATTAAAGATTACATATGAAAATATAATAATTATTACAATTTTACAAATAAAATTAATACCTAGGTATTATCATTACTGTATTTATATTTTTAATCAAAATCGTCTATGATTATCTAGAAATACAAAAACATTAATATAATAATGTAGTTACACAAAACTTACAGAAGTGAGTGAATTTGTTATAAGATATTATGTATATTATTTGTAATAACTACAGTGTACGCTTAGAATTGCATAACACATGGAAGAATTTAACTTTTCATATTTTGCAGTTTTATATGTTTTTTAAACAAAATAGGACATATTTTAGGAATACATTGTTGAATAAGCTAATAAACCTATTTTAAAATTATTTTCAATTGAATACTAATAATATGATTCAAAATCAAACTCTAAATTATTACACTATTGTGTTGATAGATTAATTAAGTAATTTGTTTTAGTTTTACAATTAAGTAGCTATTACTTATTCTTATGATAGCAGTTCAAATTTATCARAATTGTATCTTCATATTCTATCATTGTTTAGGTACGTATTTCATATTATTTAAGGGAAGATCGTTTTTATAGAATATATTTATTCAACCAAAATGTTATAAATTCAATACCKGCTTATAACTTTATAAGTCATAATAAAATATTCATTAAATAATATTATAATATAATAATAATTATAATATATAATATAATTATAATATTATATTATTCATTTAGTATGTGATATACTACGACAATTATACCTATATTATGTATGGATCAACGTACATTGCTGTAGTAGGAATTCAATAAACATACATTTTTTCTTATTGATTTTAACATTATTAAATTAAATCCTGCATCATTAATTATTTAATAATAATAAAATAACATAATTATATGATTCTTAGTTTGACTAAAAACACTGAACAAATACCCAATAAGGTGGGTCATGCACTAAAAGAATACCAAAACATAATCTATTGAACTAAATCAAAACTTACAAGAGATCTCTTGCATTCAAAAAATGTATTTTGCAACGCTAAACATTCTGGTGGACAGTTTTTCTCTTTCAAGCAGTCTTTGGGCAACTTTTTTTCCTAAAAATTATAATTAACATCCATTAAAATTTAGGGACGTCTATAAAATACATATTAGCTATTTTTTTAGAACAAAATTAATTATTTACTATTTTACAACAGTCCGATTCCAATAGACACATTTTGAGATCCGCTCTTACACCCGCACAAGGCTTGTGGTCTGTGAGTTCACCTTCATCGTAGCGCATCATCTTATATGAAATATTGAATGAATAAGTAGATATGGTATTGTTATTATTTTAGTAAGTATGCAAATAATTACATACTGTATTGGTGTGTAATTTGACTGTATTCCGTGTGACTGCGACAGTTGTAATTTGTATTAATTTCTTACGATAGCCCTATCTAGAACTTTACATAAGCCTTGTTATTGTTTATTTAATTTACGGTTCAATTTTTTTACAACAGTAATTTAATTTTAATAATATTTCAGATTTTTTATTTAATTTCATAGTTTCATACTGTTATCAATATTGTCTGTAAGTAGATAACACGGTGTTATAATCACAGACTCGGACTAACATAATGTCACAATCTTGGTCTGTTCCTATATAGTCCGTGGTCGACGGTCATAACTCCTCGTGAGTCGTGACGGCAGTACGGCACTATGGATTTAGCTTAGATCATATTATAGTAATAGTATAATATTATAATATAATACCATATAATCTAAGGTGTTTGATGATTATGTGACACTAGATGCTGAATATTTACACGTGAAATTTTGTTTTATATAAAAGCTGAAAGCTGACAAGCTGACAAGTGGCAACCTTTAGACACTTTTCAGATAACGGTTGTGATATTATATTTTGTTATTCTTAATATAATTGACAATTTATTAAATACTTAGGTATCATTAAAATTAAAAAATACTTATTGCAATTAATATTATTTTTTCATGATTGTTCTATTGGTTCTACCACTTTTCAGTTTATTAGTAGCATCTTTACAGTTTATTTATAAATTACATATCACAATTAAGTAGGTAGGTATACTTTTAAAAAAATTTGTAATTTAATTTTGGTTTTAAAAAGTCATGAAGCTTATAGCAATTAGCAAAACAAAAATTGTAAAACGATTAAATTATAGTTGGGTATTTAAAATTAAAATTTTATAGTTTTAAATTAAAAACGAAATAATTACGAAAAAACAATACATTTATTTGTATGATATCATGTGCCAATCAAGACTATTGTGGGTAAATTAAATTGAAATAAAATAACTATAAATAACAGGTATTTTGTTTTTAAAAATAAAAACTAATAGAGTTTGGAAATTTAACATGTCTAAAATATCTCAAAAATAGTTTAAATGTTACCACGTGACACGTATTACGTATATAATATGGTATTACACATAAACATTTTGTAAAAATTAAATATAAGTGTAAAAAGTACCTGCAGCCCTACTCACATACGGTTATTTACATTTGAATTGCAACAAAACAAGAAAACTGGTTTTTGCATAAAAATAAAATATGATTATTTTTATGTTTATTTCGATTTTAAATCGTTGATGGACTGTTTTAATATTAAAAAAAAAAAAACAAATGATAATAAATAATAACTTTATATGAAGGTAATAACTAAACAGTTCAATTAGTTTGAATAAAAAGAAGTTATCTTTACATATTATATACACTATATTAATAAATTTGTTGAACATTTGGTTTCTATAAAAATACTTATAACTAATAAAATGTGAAATACATGTCTTTGATTTTTAATCGTTTCACAATATTTTTATCATATAGCAGATAAATTAGCTGAAAYGGAATTAAACTTTTTTTAATATTGGGGGAAACAGTGGCAACCCAAACGGCTCTCRTACGTTGCTTGCTTATTCTCGAATGGCTTTCGCCAAAAAAAGTTTTAGGTAAATTCCCAAACGACTCACATCCCATCGAAAATTTTTTACGAACCAATATCAAATATAACGTGTGACCGTGTGGAACGACTGGGACATGTGGGACGCTATGTGCCCATGTCCTAATAGAATACGAGCAATGCGGTGTGAAAAAAAAACTAAGTCTATAAAAAAAGAACGGACGTCCTAACTCCTCGGCGCATCCGAGTTGGGTCCCGAGTACTAGGGGCTAATCGCAGGTACTATACTAGTTGGGTCCCGAATTAATTATTATAGGTATTTCACTAGTTCCTGAATATTTTTTGGTAAGTACTACACTATACTAACATTTTCATTCCTATTTTAACAGACTGTCTATGATCTATTTAGACCACAGGTATTATGGTTAAAAATGTTTTTTACAGTTTTTTTTTAATATTAAAAGATATAATATAATATTTAATAAAAAAATTGCAGGAATAATCAATCGATTTGATTTTGTAAAATTAATGTCGTATACATTTTTACCAACACACATGTGATTTWAAAAAAAAATATTATTTTATTTGTATTTATATTATGTAATTATTTTAACGTTTTTAATATTTCTTCACTTACATCTATATGACTATATTTTTTATTATATAATATGTATTTTTATACTTGGTTTTTAACATTTTTAATATTTTTACCAACACAAAAGTGATTTTGTGTAGTTGATTTTTTATTAAATTCTAATAACTTAGATTTTAATGGAAAAGAAACGAAACAAAAAAAAAACTGTAAAAAACATTTTTAACCATACCTGTGGTATAATAGATTATAGACAGTCCTAAGTCTGTTAAAAYGGGAATGAAAATGTTAGTATAGTGTAGTACTTACCAAAAAATATTCAGGAACTAGTGAAATACCTATAATAATTCGGGATCAAACTAGTATTGTACCTAAAATAATTTGGGACCCAACTAATGTAGCAATTTTAAATTCGGTACCCAACTCGGATGCAGCCCCTAATACAACCGCAAAACTGTTATAGGGCATCCGGAAATCGGTCTACAATAGACTTTTTTACAAAAAGATATACGGTTATTGGGCCACTATAATTTTACATTTGTAACAGGTAGACCTGGCGAATGGACCACTATTAAATTAATATGTCATGTCTCATGTATTACAAATAACAAACAAATCAAGAACTTTAATTCGAAAAAATATATTTTTAATTTATTAAAAAAATATGATGTAGGGAAAAAGAATAGATTTGAGTTGGTAAAATCGGTATTAAATTATTAAAAAAAAATAGTTATAGTTTTATTTTTATGTATTAGCAAAAAAAATAAATAATAAAGTTATAAATTACCTATATTCGTATATTTTCAATTTTCATGCTAAATATTTATGGCCCAATCTCAAGACACGCTAAAAATATATATTTAATTTGTGGCCCCATTTCCTAGTATTAAAATGTAAACAAATAATTTATACGAATCAGGTAGATAATTTGTGGCCACCCGCCGTGGTAAAATTACCACCGCACCACATGCAATATTTGATAATCAAACAAGTTTGATTTTATCTGTAACGGTGACAACGGCAAGATACAACATACTAACTTGCATTTTAATATGTTATACACTAATACACTGCACATTGCAGTGCTTGTGGAGAGTTTTATAATTTATTTCAGAAGTTCAAAAAAGGCGTATTTTATGGGATAAGTTCAATAATCAATTTAAAGATTGGATCAAAGTTAATAGATAGTGTGAAGCTGTAGGTAGTGGTGGTGGGATATAGGATTATTTGAAGCAATTACCTCATGTCTGAAAGCCCTTTGGCCACTGACCACAGCTGCTTATTAGAGATGGTGGTAAAAATATTTTAAATGTACAATATGTTTCAAAACTTCCACAATTTCGCACCGCAACCGGTTGTAAGCTTGTATAGCCTGTAGGGAAAGAATTACGTATGTCAAGCGAGTAAAAAAATATGTTTCATCACAAAAAGTATACATGTACTGTTAAGTGTTTAGTAGTAATATGGATTGTACTTTAGTCATAACATATTTTAATAAAACACGGCCATAACAATTAATTCATATAAATAAATATAAAATGCATGTAAAGTATAAAATATATGGAGCGCAATAATATACCGTTAAAAAATCGTGTTTTWAAAATAGTTTTTCCTAAGCACATCCTAGCTCATGTCAATATATCGACTTTATCTAGGTACACAATAGCTGATAATATTTATGTTTTATTTTTTTCAAAAAATGAAGTGAATATATTTCTAACATTTTCAGCAAATCGAGATGATCTATTATTGGTTTTATTTCTGTGCATTATCATAGTATCTAATGAATTTGGTTGTTCTTCATTCGAACTTGTTTGTCACACAGTATCTTTTCGAGGTCTATTATTATATTACCTATGTAAAATGCATATTGCTTTACACAATATGATATAAATAATAGTTTATAATAATAATAAATTAATAAATATGCGGTGAATACTGAACCATATGTCGTATGCCGTATGTCCAATAGAAGTCATTCTTCTAATCCTCTTATGAGTTGTGACTCATTAAAAATGATGTTTTCAAATACGTAGCACGGGTTTTAGCGTTTACGATGCTGTGACTCAATAGYCTATACATTGTATGTGATCTAAGATAAAAAAATCTATAATCTTTATAGGCCTTGAATTAAAAAATGGATACTTTCAACGGTGATCAATATATGTTTTTTAAGTTTTTTTGCAGAGGTAATAAAAGCAAACGTTTCCTGACTTTTTAATGTTCACTAAAGATCGACGAGCTTATATGACCATAAGTAAAACCAATGATTATATAGAGCGTTTAAATCATTTCATCTTACTGACCAAGTTGAGGACACGAAAATGTCGGACAGGAACCGGTTCTTGTTATATTAGAAAAATTATTTATTTAACGATCCATATAAAAACCAAAACCAGAAATAAACTTGATGTAGCACATGCTTTGACTTCATCAGTAACCAAGATTAAATAAAATTGTTCAAAAAAAAAAAAACAAATACAACGCTTTCATTAAAATATATTGTTTTTGAATTTTAAATTGTACTTGTTTATATATATATATATATTGTAATTGATACACCGATATTGATATATTTTATTTGTATTTATATATGCTTTTAACTTTTTACTAAATTTAATACACTAATCTRCTGTCAAAACTAAGCATAGGTAACTTTTTATTTTTTGAAYCAAAACCCAAAGTGTTCCGTATTTAAAAGCAATAGCAGTCTAAGTGGTACGCGACGGAAAAAAGGTTGAGAACCACTGTCTTAGAATCTGGAGAYCGCGGTAGTTAACAACTCAATAAGATAAATGGACCCTCCGTCTCTCTCGTAATATTGCATTATCACAAGAATGAATACCGAGCTCTCATTCTCTGAAGATTTTGAAACATTAACTCGAGCAACAGTTTGCCATTAGGGTTCACTACTATCAACAGTTCTATCAAAAGTTGTACGTTGTTTGTACTTGTRCAGTAAGTTGTCGTTGTCAGATAATTGTAGACGGCAGCGGCGCTTTTCGGTAGGTGTACCCCAAACTAGTGTTTTGACCGTGCGATATCAGTCGTCTCACCAATTTGTTTATTATAAATGTATAMAATTTTATGACTCGGCTGACAATCAAGTACGGAGAACCCCTGATTTTTCGTTATCGCACAGCCGCCGCCGTCAGAATTTATCTGGCAACTCAGTAGTATCACATTGTTCTGTGCCTTATCACACAACACTATTGAATGGTACGATAAATTGTCTTTTTATTTTTTTATAGTATTTAATATAGATGTTCACGCATTTTTTAACCAGTATTTAAGCCTTGTCAGTACGTCCGATCCTACAACTGTTTAATAGAGTTCAGTGACAGTTCATTGGATACAGTCAGTGGCCTGATCGGCAGTCGATCGAGTGTCGGAAGTGTCGCTTCTATGTTGCTCTGTGGTAGCTGCAGCAGCTGCAGCAGCTGCGAGGGGACGCTATAATTCTTGATTTTCATTGGTCGTTGTGATTGTTCCATGAATTACATTTATTTACATTGTCTCATAATTGTGGCCGGTGGGCGATTCTTTGAGGGGAACGATTTTAATCGAAATGAAAAAATCGATTGAAAAAAACCGTTACAAAAAAAACCAAAACATAAATATTCGATATAAAGTTATCTGAATAACGTCGATTTTACCCATTTATATTGACCTATATTCATTAAATTGAATCGTTTATTTAACCACGATATGCATACTGTATTATAATCTGAGCCAGTTGCGGTCAAACAGATGCCGGAATGATTGGGGCTTGGTCCTCCATGACCTTTTTTTTCGATGGTTCTGTCTGATAATCATTTACATAATCAATACATTTGATTTTTAACAATCAAATAGTGCATGTTAAAAATCAGCTTTTTCCACCTCAGTACAAAATAATTTGAATGCCACTGAACTAAGCAAAAAAAGATCGGTAAGCTAATAGACCGAGACGAACCATGGTAACACAGTAATGCTGATCGTATATTCGTATCTACGCATGTGCGTTAATAAATTTACAAATTTATRCATAATTAAAAATAAATAACGGCATAAATACGTAATTATAGTATATCGTTYAGTGCTTGTGAATATTTCTTACAAGTTTCAAATGAATTTAACGAATTATTCAATTATGATTTATATTAAGTAATAGATGATATTAGATGATACCTATCGTAATTTTTGTCTAGTTATTGATTTAAAGTTTTCGTATTATTGACCTTTTATAGTTACATTAATAATACAACGTCATCACTGTCGCGTAATTTTCAAAGTAATAGTCTGAAACATCGAAAAAATATAATCGATTATTTTAAAAATCGATTTTTTTTCACGTCACTACTTCTACTCAGTGTATTATAGCTATGGTGACTCATGCCGTCCCGCTTGCCTCATGAAGAATGACAATGCTCCTATGCCTCACCAAATGCTGTAATCAACGTCTTGGCGTCCATGCTCAATAGTCCCTTGCCCGCWGGATTTCTCGAAAATTTAACCCAGTTACGAAGCTGTTGGTGAGTACTTAAAATAATAATAAATGTAATAATATTTTAGAGTAGGCAGATGCTGACGCGGCTACGGCCGTCTGCTTATTTGTTGCTGTCTATGGTCAACGTCGACTATTGGATCACTTGGATCTATCGTTGTCACGAGTGTCTGTGCCTCGGGCCGACGAGTGTCGGGATCACGGTTGGGCAAAATATCATCGAAATGGCGGCGGCTGGTACTCGTCCGGTGCGACTTGGCTTCGCGTCCTGCCAAGGCTTTTCGGCGTACAGGAATAGTTGACTGTGTCACGTCGTTGTCACCYGTGGTGGCGGTACTTGTACTTTGAACATTGAATTCTCACTTCTCATAACTTGGCCTTATTTTATACAAGTTTAATCAATGCGATCACACGAATCCCTATTTCATATTTATTAATCTGTTAACTTTAATCCTGTTGGGTATTACATATCCATAAGACCATAAAAATTAGGCACTTTAAGTCTATTGCCATTCTTAATTTTCTCTGCAACAGACAAYTGATGAACTGACAATAGTAAATATTAAGTGATATTTGTAATAATTTGTTTATTTTAATAATAATATACATATTATTGTCATATTGATATTGTTACTGTAGTATGGATGTATTAAACAAGAGACCTATACACTATACATGCATCTCAATTATAKGAAGTCAGTAAGTCGTGCTCATCAGATAATGTCTAATGTCACAATTTCCTGGGTTAATAAATTTAAAATATTCCATCTTTAAAACAATATTTTAAATAACTAATCTACTAATGTAATATTGTGTACAAAATAATGGTTTACACACATTTCAGTGGTGACTGTGCAATTRTTTTCAGTCTTGAAGTGCTGATGTAGATTTAGTAATGTAGTATTGATTTATGCATATTTAATATCTATAGATTTTTTGATGACAGATAAAATGGTGCATGATCATATTCATATACTATATTTTTATTCAAAATTTATTTTTAATAATTTCAATATTCGATTATAAATTAATCTAAAGGGAGTTTTAGTATCATCTCTGTGACAAAAAAGAAAAAAGAAAAAAATATATTTGAGAACATCGTTCAAATGACAGACCTAATTTAAGGGTGGTATAATATTTATAGAGTATATATTATATTAGGTACTCTTTTATTTTTTCWCAATACAATTTTACTGACAACCGTGCAGGGGAGAAAACATGGATAGAGATGGGAGATCTGGTAATTTTTGGTCCTGGCAAAATGCCAAAATATATACTTATATTTGATTAACAYAWCCATAACAATAATGACTATAATATAGTAGTAAGCCTATATTTGATATATTGTATAACATAGCGATTACCTAGTTGGCGGCTATTTATAATATTGTCTTTTATTTGTTATAATACTACTCCATAAAAATATTGATTTTAAGCTATTATTCTATTTTTAGTACTTTTAAAATTGTAACTTCTTTTTATGTCAATAGAATTCCAATACTATAAAAGATGTCGAAAAATGAGAGCAGCAACTCGAACACACCTGATAGCAAACCTAAAGAGAAGCGATATTGTCCACGGAGTTGTGTTCGTTACGATAATACAATTTTCTGTCCTACTTTATGGGTGTGTAGGATGTGCTTGAAATGTTTATTAAGCTTGGATGCGTGTAAAAACCATGTCAAAATTTGCAACCCAAAGAAGCCTCCGCCGGGCACACCGCCTATACCGATTCCATCACCCAAAAGTACTCCGGTTCCACGCAAAACAACTCCAGTTCCACCTACAGGAACTAATCAAAAGTAATAATTCATCTATTTATATTATTTGTATTCATTATTATCAAACATAATGTTAAAAAGTTAATTTATTTTTATTTTGTTCAGGAATGAAGATAATGAAACTCATTATATCTGTCAAATTTGCGATAGAGTATTCTCGAGACGGGTTAGTCTTTTAAAACACATAAAGGACCATAAGAAGATGAATAATGAAGATTCAGACTCAGATTAAGATTCTTTAAGAGGATGCCACACCCGCATTTGTTGTCTCAGTCTTACAAACGAGTAATATAGCGTGTATAATAAATTGTAAAATGAAAATGCTCATAACTCGCTTGAAAACTTAAGTATTGTAAAAAAAAAAA